ATTCTGTTTGGGGCTGCCAGGGAGTTTCGGAGGTTCCGGGGCTCTTGGGGACCATCTCCTTTTCTTTTGTTATTTAATATTTGGGGGGGGGGGGGAGGGGGCTGGTTTACGACTCTGTTTTGTTTTGGGCTTTGGGGGGCAGATGGTATCCATGTAAAAATCAATCAAAGGGTTGGCTATGGAGATTCAGTGGGCTTCTGAGATCTTTGCTTTGGCTCCCCAGTTTCCAATGCGGCCCTTGGGATACTGCATCCTTTGGATCCTCAGGCCGCACGCGAAACATCCGCGTGGAGGGGGTTACCGTGGAGTCCACCAAGCTCTTCCTGCAATTGATGAGCCTTGGCCCAAGGGTTCTGGAACCCTGTGGCCATGGAAACGCCCGTTTCTGTGATGGGATATAATATACAGTCAACATTCAGAGTCAAAGACCGATGGGAAAACACAAAAAGTGGCAGGTTTGATGTGAGTTTCCCTTGGGTGATGTTTCTTGAAGATTCAAGGGTACAGCTGGGGTAACTGGGACTCATTGACTCATGGACCAGGTTCAGCCTTACTACTTGGATGTTCGGCCAAGTCAGTACGTGGTCAGCCATTTGGGGTATAATCCCTCTTTCCACAAGGTGAACCCCGTCGAACGGGGGACTTATAAGTGGGTTATAACCTCCAACTTGGCCGAAACCCCAAGCAAGCAGCTTGAACACCCAAGTAATTTCCCCCCCCCCCCAGAAAAGAAAAGAAGAAGCACGCGCTCAGTTTTCAGGGGACCCTCAAAGCCTTGGTTGCTGCTGACTCTGCAAGAGGCAACCCTACCAAGCCGAGGTACACCGGGGTCACGGAGCTGGAGGTTCGGGCGAGCGTGCTGCTGGGTGTCTTGGATTTGGCGCACCGCTGGCAAGTGCCGCATTTGGTGCACATGGCCGAGCGCAGCCTTGTGGAGATGGCGGGGGGGGGGGGGCAGGGGAGGGGAGGGTGGGGGGAGGGTGGGAGATTTGGGGAGGTTTGGGGGTGGGTGGGTGAGTGGGTGAGTGGGTGAGTGGGTGGGGGGGTTGAATTGATTTGTGCTTTTTGATTTATGGAATTAAATGGGGAGGGGGGGACCCCTTTTCATGAACCTCAGAGGCTTCCTGGAATGTTGCAAGAAAACCAAGCATACTCCGCCCAAATCCAGCAAATCACAAAAACACTCCAGAATCGATCTCCTGTTCCCTTACTTGCAATGATTTACTGGGGTCTTTTCCTAAACTGGGTAGACAAACCATGGAACAGAGTCACAAGACATGTTTTCAGCGTACCCCGCATGTCCAAGTTTAGGGCAGCTAGCCAGGGGGGTTGTCTGAAGCCAAACCGGCTCTGATTTTTTGGAATGGGAACCACCTCAAGAGTGGTTGGTGGACAAGAGCCCCTTTTCCTTTTGGTGAGGCTCGTCCGTGTGACACGGTCAGCTGTGGTTAAAGGGGTTGGGGGGCGAGGGGGCGGGGGGGCCTACAGAACTGATGTCCACCTTCGGGTCCGGGACCTGTTCAACCCCCACCTAAGCTTCCATTTGCTGAAGGATATTGCTTATCGCCCCCTGTTGTTGGTTTCCACGGGTTTTTGGCACTACTGGAAATAGGTTTTCATTTCGGGTCCGGGACTCTCATTTTGTTGGATAGGGAACCACCTCAAGCCCCAAAAACTGGCTCTTATTTTTTCGGACATTTGTAGCCCCCCCAACTGAACACCATGTTGGGTTTGGTGGAACCCCCCAAACCCCATCCTATCTGATGTCCACGTTTTCGGGTCCCGTTAAAATCTTCGGGGCGCCAGGTGGGGCTGGAGACCTTAGGCGAGCTCTGCGAGGCCGGGGTCTTGAAGCAGCTGCCCAAGCTCCGCAGCGCCTGCCGCTGCTTCGCGCTCATGCGCCCCGGAGCCGAAGAACTCCAATCTCTCCCCCCCCCCGTTTTGGGGGCCGTGGCCCATGTAGCCTCCCAGGTGCCTCGCATGTTGGCTCATGTTTGCCGACATTCTTTTTCCCGGGGCGGGCACAACGGGCAACTGTTTTTTTCCTTTTTAACAAGCTTCATTCCCCTGCTTCCAGCCAAATCTCTAGAATATGCGGCATGGCCCAAGCACCCTTGCTAGGGACGAGTCATCAACCATGGCACAAAGGTCACCCTCTGTTGTCTGTTTCCATTTCACATGTTTCCCCAAGTTCCAACCGGATGTTTGCTCCAATGCAATGGATTCGAATGGTTTCCATGTGCGTCTAGAAACGATGTCTTGGGTTGGAAGGGGAAAAATGTGGGGAATCATGAATAGCCAAATGTAGCCACTATACCATACAACCGTACAACCGTACAACCATGCAAGCATGCAACCAGCGTATAGACTGGTTCTTTTTGGACATTGCTTAGACTTTCAGTCTTTTCGCAGATGAAAGTGATTTATGTCGTATCCTGCTAAAAGAAACTTTTAACGAGCGATCAAATAAGCACTAAGTCCTTTGGTTAGTGTTCGTTCT